TGAGGATCCCACTAGTAGGTTTGATAGGTCTAGCATTGGGTCTCAAGTTACCAAGTAGGGCACTGTCATCGACGTGTGCTGGTTTGAGACGATCAGTGCTGACGATCTCGACGCGGCCATGTCGATCAACCTTGAAGGTCTTTTCGTGACGAGCGGTCACATGAAAAGGGACTTCGTAAGGCTGTTGCAAAGGTTTGCGTACTGAATCTACTCGTATGAAAACATGCGCACAGGTAGATAACTCTCGAGAGAGAGCGACCTGTCGATGTTGTATAAGAGTTGACACCGGAGACAGTGGTCGCATAAACGCAGACAGTCGATGGATTTAGTCTGATTTACCGAAATCGTTACTGCTCCGTGGTGTGAAAAATTCCCCAGGCAGACGCAACGTCGTACCGTATACAAGTTCAGCGGCGGAACATTGGATATGTGCCTTCAAGCTCTTTCTGATACTTAAGAGGACGAGCGATAAGGTTTCGTACCAGTTGTTGTTTTCGTGTGTTCGAAGAGCATTTTTAAGTTGGCGATGAAACTGTTCAACTAAACCATTTGATGCTGGGTGGTAGGCGGTAGTGCGTAAGCGTTCCGTACCAAGCAGCCGGGCCAGTGAGGAGGATAATGCGGACTCTAATTGTTATCCTCGGTCGGTCGTGACAGTCGAGGGACAACCGTACAGCGCTATCCATCGTTCTATGAAGCCGTGAGCAACTGTCTCCGCCCTAATAGACACGATGGGCATAGCTTCGGGCCATCTTGTGAAACGGTCGATGCACGTGAGTATGTGATCATACTCATGCAATGGTGGCAAAGGGCACACAATGTCAATACGAACGTGATCGAAGCGAGCATCAGGCGTAACAAACGTGCCAATAGGGGCAGCTACGTGCCTCTGCACTTTTAATCGTTGACATTGTAAGCATTGGTTTACCCACATGCGGACATCTTTATTCATGGACGGCCAGACGTATCGTGCAGCGATGAGACGTAATGTAGATGCGATACCTGGATGAGACAATCCATGCAGAGCATCGAAGACGAGATGACGGTAAGCGGAGGGTACGATGGGCCGGGGGAGACTGGTAGAAGTATCACATAGGATTGTACCTGAGGTAGTAGCTAGTGGTACTGAAGGAATGAAGAGTGTGGTGCTTCTGTACAAAAAGGATCGATTGCTTGAACGGCAGCCATAGCAGGAAGATCGAGCACCAGTGAAGTAACTGTATTCACTTGCATACGTGACAGAGCATCAGCAACATAGTTCGACTCACCTTTAATGTGACGAAGGTCCGTCGTGAACTGAGAGATATAGTCCAAATGTCTGCATTCTCGTGGTGAGTAATGGTCATGGCATGTAGAGCATACGTTAAAGGCTTGTGGTCGGTGAATAAAATCAGATGGCGATCTTCTACTGCGCGTCGGAAATGTTTGATGGCACAGTAGGCTGCTAGCAGCTCTCGGCCAAAAGCGCTATATCTCGTCTCCGTGGGAGTAAGGCGTCGTGAGAAAAATTCAAGAGGTTGCCAACTTCCGGAGATGTTCTGTTGCATAACGGCTCCTATGGCAAGATCCGATGCATCAATCGCTATACTAAGTGTGTCTGATGAGTCTGGATGCGCGAGAAGTGTGACTTCAGCAATGGCTGTTTTTATCTCTGAAAATGCAGTACGTGCCGTATCGTTCAATTCTAATTTGCGTCGATTACCGCGATTTAAGTCGGTTAATGGTCGTAACCCTTCTGCCGCGTGTGGGGTGAAATGTCGGTAGACGTTAACCAAACCGAGAACTGCCTACAGTTTCTCGAGTGAAGACGGCACGGTATACTTTTGTTGCACGTTCTTTGTCTTCACAAGGTAAAATACCCTCTTGCTTAATGATGTGACCCAGAAACATTATTTCCGATTTGCTCAATCCACACTTGTCTGGGTTGACTACTAATCCATTATTCGAGAAACGTTGGAATAGGAGTGTAAGGTGTTGATAATGTTCATCTACGTTTGATGATGCGATTAGCAGGTCATCAATATGGACGTGAACAAAATCTAGGTCCCGTACTATGCTATCGATAAACGTTTGGAAAGTTTGAGCAGCATTTCGTGATCCAAATGGCATTCGTAGGAACTCGAACAAATCAAAAGGAGTCGTGATAGCGGTTTTCTCAATATCTTCACGAGGGACTGCGATCTGATGATATGCTCGTACCAAATCAATCTTAGAAAAGATAGCGTGCCCTTGAGCGATGCTGTGATGTCGTGTATGTGGGAGGTGGGATAGCTATCAAAGCGCGTAACTGCGTTTAATGCTCGCATGGTCTCCAGCTAACCCCATTCTTCTTGCGCACCATATGAAGAGGTGAGGCCCAGGGACTGTGAGGATGACGAATAATACCAGTAGCTATTAGATTCTCAAACTCACGCTTAACGAAGGCTAATTTGTCCGGTGTCAGTCGGCGTGGTTTCGCCGTGACCGGTGGTTCGCGGGTGACTATGTGGTGTACCGCACGGTTGGTCACCGATGGAATCTCCTCGAATGGTTTGGTAAATGTGGTGAATTTCTGGAATAGAACGTGGAATTCATCGTTGCGCGAATGAAAAGTGCCTAAGATTCGATACGCATATATCGAAGTCTGTTATAATAATACTATTCTTATCGTTATTCGTCATCACAGGTTGTTGCCAGAATATTATATATTGAAAAATATCAATATGAAAATGTGCAACAGACGTGGATACATAAGTAATAGACTCGCCGCAGTTAGCTTCTTTGGAAGATTTGACCAGAGGTTGAGAAGTGTTCGTACTTTTGGGTTCATCAATTGTAGCGTGGAGTCGATTGAATATGAACACCACCACAAGAAAGCGCGGACCAGAGGAACCAGAAGGCGAAGATGGAGTGTAACCTGATTTATTTCGTTGGCGATCTGGTGGTATCGAACGGATACCTGATCGTGCCAGAAGGAATACAAGCGGAATTAGTGGACGAGAGTACAGGCGTACAAGGTCACAGTCCATACGAAAGTAATGGAGAGTAATGGAGTAGTAATATGACTGTCTTTAGCACGGTTAAACAAACGAGCAGAGTAAAACGATCACTGGTACAATTGGTTATAATAATGATCGCATTCTCTTGATAAAAGTAGGTCGCCACTATTCCTCTTGTATGCAAATGACCTTCCTCGTCTCCTATCATCATCGGTCTTGCTATATGCTGACAATGTCAAGATTTGGAGAACGATACGATGTAAAAGTGATAGCTTAGAACTCCAAAATGAACTGAAGAAAATATCTGAATGATCTCAAACCTGGCAGTTGCCGATAAATACTTCCAAGTGTGTCGTGATGCATATCGGTCATCAAGGTACAGATACATACACGATGAATAACACTGAGCTACCTGTCATCCAGACATATAATGACTTAGGAGTCATCGTTAGCCAAGACTTAAAGACTACTGCACACTGCCGTGCAATAGCCGCCAAAGGTTTTAGAACCTTGTGGTCAATACGTAGGGCTTTTAGTCATGCCGACGCTAAGACGTTTTTGACTTTGTATACAGTGTTCGTACGCCCTAAACTTGAGTATTGCATACAAACGGCTAGCCTTGCTTAAAAAAAGACGGTGAGCTTCTGGAAACGGTTCAGAGAACGGCGACTAAGCTGATTCCGGAATAGCGAAGCTTCCGTATGAAGTTCGACTGGCCAAGCTGAACCTTTTCCCGTTGTCATATCGCAGAACTAGAGGCGACTTGATTACAGCTTTCAAATAGCTTAGTGATAAATTCGCACTCAATATGCCCTCATTTTTCTTGTCTCCCAAAACAGAGAATTTACGAAGGCACTCCAAAAAAGTTCACAAGTCCAGAACAAATTACTTGTCAGCTGACTATCGACTTTCCCATCGAATCATCAACGAGTGGAATTCACTACCTCAGCACGTGGTTGAGGCTCCATCCGTCGACTCTTTCAAAAGAAAGTTGGATCGACTGAGAGACCACCATTGCCAGGACTAACATAGGCCATCAAGCCTCCTGTCCTTCGCAAACTGAAAATGAAACTTTTAGAGGTATGAGGGCGGTTATCACTTCCCATTTGCCCACACCGTGGAAGGGTTCTTCTTTAGGTACCTGAAAAGGAAATTGGAGCGTGACCGCAGTGCCCAAAGGACAACTGATTGAGGTCGGTCACACACCACATTTTTGTGTTAGCTCCGTACTTGTTGAGACCTTACCGCCGGAGACGGATATCCGTGAGATAAGGCGAGGTGTGTATTTTTAGGGTCGACCTTTTCTAACCCCACCCTTCCCTGTGGGAAGGCAGTATCGCTGTCATGCTGTTTGTCTGAAGGGAACACCTTACTGCTGTCACACCTCTGTACAGTCAGCAGTACGACTTTGCCTTCGGACCTTGGGTTTGTCGCTTTTAGTCTTACCACCATTGCCAGGACTAACATAGGCCATCAAGCCTACTGTCCTTCACAAAGTGAAACTGACACCTAACGTGAATTATCACGTCGTCGTATCAGGATTCTATGGCTGCTTTGAAGACCACATAATGCAAACGACGTTATTACGGAGATGCATTGATAAAAGTAGGTAAGGGGGGAAGTCGCGATCAATACCTCATAAATCAGTCCATGGCGTTCAATTATTGGTGCACGTTGGTTGATCTTAACCTTGAAGTGGATCGATGTATTGTTCGACATTCAGTGACTAACTGCCAGATTATTTGGCTAGGGTTCAATGCTATTCCACTCACCCTACAGATATAATGCTCGACTTCTGATAATCAAACGTCACGCCACTGGGACAAATGCGTTTGTTTGTACTCAAATCTCCAAATAACTCAGAAATGAGATTAAAATAGTGTATTCGGGTGACTAGACTAAGTTTACTAGAAGCCATGAAAGCCATGAAAAACGTATTTGAGAGCACTAAATTCGTGCAAACGAACCAAGTGATAAAGATTAACTTGTATCAAACAACTTGCATATTGAGTCGAGGTGAATGGCGTTTGAGCTCACTGTGGTATTCTGCCGCGCAGTTTCGAATTTCTTGTTCCACAGCTGTACAAATGGCATTAAGGCGTATATCTAAAGTAAGAACGTGTTCAGTGTTTTGTGCAGCAGAATTGTTTTATTAAGGAGTTACAGGACTTAAGTGTAGATCCTCCAACTCAGTGTTCAGCTGGACCTATTCACGATGATCGTAAGTCATTACATGTTGTATTGATTCATGTTTAGTATTTGCCTGGCAAGCCACTATTATGGGACCTGTATGTTCGTTTATTCCGTAATAATGTGCCTGTAGGCCGATAGTCCATATGAAGGTGGAGTCTTTTCCCTGAAAATACTATTTCCCACAGACTACCCTTTCAAACCCCCTAAGGTAATCGTTGTATCATTGTCAAGTCAACCTTGTGACAGATCAGTTTCATGACGAAAATATATCATCCGAATATAAATCCCAGTGGTAGTATCTGCTTAGATATCCTCCGTGGACAATGGTCTCCTGCCCTCACAATATCGAAAGGTATACATTCGTATATAAATACTCAATTTGTGTTTAAATTAGTTCTACTCTCAATTTGTTCACTATTGACGGACCCCAATCCAGATGATCCTCTATGCCCGGACGTCGCACGTCAGTACAAAACAGATCGTAAGAAATACGATGAGTTAGCTCGAGAGTGGACACAGAAATACGCTATGGATCCTTGATACGGCACTACACAAAACATTTCGATAAACGTATTTTCTCCTTTCTTCTTGTACTCATTGATGACGTACGTGTTACATTTAATGTCGGTCGATTTTTTTCAGCCCTCGAGTAACCTTACTTTCTTATTCTATTCTTACTGGTTTGTCAGTTGTGCGTTTGTGAAAATGCTCTTAAGGTTGTCACGAGTATTTCTTCTTTTTTTTCGAACAAGACTTGTGCCGTATTTAGTGACAGTTGGCGGTACAGGTTGGTTCACTCAGACGTTTTCATTTTTTTAAATATTTAATTGTATCAATTCACTTTACGAGAAACTCATTACTTGAGCAATTGCTGCTCGTGATACTCATCATCTAATCTCTCAGAATCTAGTAATCTGTTTATATTTGACCAAAGCTATTAAAACTTGTGTTTATTCAAGAGATTGCTTTAAGGAAGAGTGATTTCATGTTGGGAACAAGATTGCATCAATGAGAGTATCGGATTTTATGGCAGTCTAATCTTGTTTTTCAGTAGTCTGTTTACTCGTGTTAAGGCGTGTATTTTCGTTAGCATAATACGCTTATTAGTTTGTATGAGGTTCTTAATGACGATCCTAAGCATAGTTCTCTAGTTACTTTATATTACTACTGTTTTCAATTAATCGGTTCTAATGTCCCTGCATGACTATCGTATTCTGACAAAATTAAAGCGGTTCATTATCTCATGTTGACTTCTTTGCCATAAAACGGCCATTAATACTGTAAACTAATGTATCGTAGCAAGTCGAATAATAACTGAATCGTTTCATGGTTCGCAATTCTACTTCAGTAGACCAAATATTATAGCTTTGAGAAACGCATCAGCTCTGTTGAGCCTTAATAGAAATAGTTTAGCATAATCTAGTTAAGGGTATTGTTACCGGAAAACCTTATCGAGACCTACTTTGGTACTTCTGATTCGTTTTGTTGTTAGCATCGGTTCGAAATAGTGTAGTTGCAAGTAGATTTTTGAAATCTTGCACCCATCTTCTCACCTGTTTTATAAACATAAACAACTACTTTCCTCATTTGACAGTATTTTGCCGTAGTTGTATATTTTATGGATAGTACTGTCGACCGATACAGTTCGTAATTTTTGTTACTGTGTAGTTACAACATCGTTTTTCACTCTTCAATGTAGTTATTTCTACTCAATACACAATTGGACCTGATACTTATGGTAATGTAAGCAATTTGTAACAGTCTTCCGAGATGATGCACACCGTTTGAGATGTGATTTCTAAGCTCGAATCGATTGTTTGTTGAGATCAGAATCCACAAGTTCAAATTTTACTCGTTGGTCCGCATATCTAGAACTGATTATCATCATGTTTTCTATGTATAGCTTTAACGGTCTTGCTTGACAAGTTAATTCAGGACAGGCTTTGGTCTTCTGATAATTATCTTGCCCATTTCTTCACGCGAACTCTTGGTACTTTCGTTTTTGAAGTAAGCATAAATAGAACTTCCAGTACACTTGAAATTACGTTAATGGATATTGTTGGTTATTAATAATATATTTATGGACAAGAGAACCATGTAGTGTGTATTTCCGAGCCTTACCAAGTCCTGTCATACTGCTAATAGTTAGATTTTAAGGATCTGACGATGCTATAATGCGAGTTGGATGTCAGCACGAATGGAAGAACTTATTGTGGGTAGTGAGAACGGTAACGGCACATTCATGTTTAGGAAATAATTCTGTCTTAGCATGAAGTCGTTGTACTTTCCGAATTGAAATATATATTTTATGCAATCCAAGGAAGTTTGTTTTGCTTATACTTTTTCGAAATCCATAGATTATAAGCTTCTATCATGCGGTGATTCATCCACGAAAATAGCCGTTATTTTAAAGATTTCACCGTAATTAGAGTGCGACCACCCATAAGTCATGTGTCTGGAGGAAGTGATTTCCTCGAAAATCTGTAACCTACGCGTGCCCTCTACTCCCTATGATCGTTTTCTAACTATAAACTGTGCAGAGGACTAATGAGGAATATGCTCGTCCTTTGCTTAACAGACGGTTTTCTCGCCTACGCGAAGGCTAACCAACTTTTCTGAATCCTTGACATGATTGTCATATAACAATCGACCATGGTTCATGAGACTTCTGAGATAAGTAATGTATGTATGTTTCTTCTATGCATATTTGACCGGAATAATAGCTTTATAGTGAAGAGGTTTTCAGCAATATAATTAGAATGAGTAAATTTATGGTATCTCAAAGTAACGGTAATTTTGTCACTGAAGTAAATGGTGTATTTCCAAATTATATTGTTAGTGCACCGAAAAGTGTGATGAGATGATCCTACCACATCCTGACACTTGTTAAAGCCTCTTCGTCCGAATCTGAATACACAGTATTTTAGATTCGAACAAAACAGTCAGTCTATTTTTCGAACTTTGGTAGCGCAAAGTAAGAAGACAATTTGATCCGACAATTAATATTTTTTATTTGCCCAATGCACTCTGAATAACAATTTGATCATATTTATTTACAATTGGTTGATCACTGTGTAGTAGAAAGTCACCGGCAACCCGAATGACGTGGTACTAACGTCCTTGATTTTGAATTGTAACTGGAGATCGAATGTGTTAGGGAGCATCAGTCCCTTCAAGATAGCAGGCACACCTTGTTCGAAGGTGTGAGATATCACTGGACTTAGGTTAAGCTGGGGATCCTGCCGACTGCTTTCGGCTGCCACCTTACATGATGATGCGTATATTTGTCATTTATATATGGAAGCTAACGAAGGATGAGTAATTGTAATGTGCTGTCATTGTGAACAGCGGAGAGAGAGAGAGAGCGTTGTATGATGTCGATAAAATGAGTTTTTATATCATTCTAAGCATTGAAGTTGATTCATCAGGTTATGGGATGCAAGTTTAGGACAAATTATATTTGTGCACATTGTCTTATAATCCACTCATTCTCCGATTTTCATTTATCACTTCGGATTCATTTCGTCTTTTAATCGGTTGATATTTATTGTTTCTTCTCGCTGTGTATGTGTAAATGCCTTGAGTATGTATGTGATCTTTGATGGAAATGTCTACTGTACGAATATATCACCAGGTTTTCACTGTGAACTGTCTTTTTAATAGTACTAGAAATGGGAATTTGTGCTTACTGTCTGATAATCCCAATGGATTATTATAATAAATCTGTAAGCATTTAATTTCTAGACTTGATTGTATTTTGAGGATTTCAGAGTACTGGTGATGAAACTGTACAGACTATTGTTAATTCATTGTCCATATACTCTATAATTTATTTTGAACTTTACTCGAGTGGGCAGTATTGAGGCGAGTTTCAGAGTCATGAGTAAATCTGAAAGTTGGTTGACAATGTTGGTGCTGTAGTGAAGCTTAATTGGCCACGTTTTATCTTGTAACTGAGCCTCCTTTCACCTCACATTTATATGTGGATTGTTATGTAGGTGTTGTTGAAGAATGCTAGGTGTGTGCTAATTCAAATGTGGTAGCATTCCATGAATTCACTGAGTGTTGGACTGAGTTTAACTTGTAGGTGTAGATTACCTAATTGAGGTTCGAGTGGTTATCGTGACCAACGATTAGAATTGTTGAATGACAACTGAGAATCAGTCGCAATGGTTCATGTAGATGGGTTGACGGCTTGCTTACCCATTGAATTTGCAAACTATTTTATGCTGCGATTTCATTCCTTCTATTCGAGTCATAACGTTCATGTCTAGTGTTTCGTACTCTCACTGATACTGTTACCACTTTCTTGTTTGTCTTTATAATTTCATCTGATTTTACAGACTATTAATATTTCTTGGTCTATGTGCTTTGTAATTTATTTTGGAATTTAATCGAGCGTAGAATAATGGTTTGAGATTCAGATATATATAAGTCGGTAAAAGTCACAAAATGTTTTGTCGAAAATAAAAATAATTTAGGGAATCAGTACTTCAAAAGCAGGAATCATCTATCAAGTTTAATTTTGGTGGTCAGCTTCGTGATCAATCAATTATAAGAATCAACATGCCAAATCTGGAAGGAGAGCTTATGGAAATGCCGAAGTGTTCCTTTCAAGACGCTAGGACTTTGTGTGTTGATTATGATTCAATGCATGAAATCGACTTCAACGACATCAAGAATTCTGCTACATAACTTAATTATCCTAATCCGATTCATATTCAACGTCATACAGGTAGGCTTTTAATTGACGCAAATTGTCTTTCTCATGAAAATGTAGATAACAATAGATTGAAGAGTCATGAAACAGGTTACAGAGGTGATCACATGTATGGTAAATGTTTATCTTGTGGTTAATTTCACTTACGTAATTCGTCCATCCTGCGTCATGATGAGTACTTTAGGTGTGATAAAATAG